TGTAGTTGCTGTCGAAGCAACTTATTTTCTCTTTGTAGTTCACATAATCTCTGCTCTAGAGATTCCTGCTTGCCAACGTATGGATTCACTTTGCCTTGGTCACTGCAACGCGTTTGCTCGATTTCCTTCATTTGGCACTGTCTTTGCCTTAGGTCTTTTTGTACACCTTCTAAAAACAACATCTTTTCTTGGAGGAGCTCTCTTGTGTGGTGGAGCTCCGTTTCTAGGCTATCGATCTTACTTTCTACTTTAGAAAGTTTTTCAGAAAGAATCTCGCACTTTTCTTTTAGATTCGACATGTAAAAATTCATTTCATCTTGTAAGTGAGACCACTCGTCTCTTGCTGTGTGGAAAGCAAGTTCTAGGTGTTTTCTCGATGTCTCACTTTCATCAAGATCACGTGTAGTGGCAGTCTGTCTAGAACGGTATGATTCAAGTTCGTCTTTCAGTCTTTTCTCGTTTTGTGTTTCACTCTCCAGTTTACACTTTAGCATTGCATTCTCGGCTGTGAGAACACGAAGCTGCTCATCATACTGAGATACAGGTTTAGTTAACGTTTCCAAATTCAGTATTCTATTAATTGGAACGTCATCATCCTTTTCTTTTGTAATTTCCATGTCCTTCAGATATTTCTTTTCATTTTCCTCATTCTGATTTTTAATTTTGTCTCTCTCCATTCTCAGCATGGCAATTTGTTCCTGCAACATGCGATTTTTATGGAGTAGATCTTTTTTTCTTTCTTGGCTGTGAGAAATCTGTGGCAAACCAAGGAAACTTTTAGCTATCTTCCAATACAAGGACCTATCATGATTTCCTCTGAAATTAAAGGATAACCTGTCGATTTCTACAATGAAAGGGTTGCAATAAGTGGACATCCAACTGGAAAAGAAGTTGGATCAAACCCTCCAACCTTATACAGCATAAATTCCCAAAGGATCAAAATTTATTTGAAGTCAATGAATCCATGGAAGTATCAAAGAAACCACTACAGGATGTTTAAAGATCTCAGAATTGGAAAAATCTTTCCCTTAGTTACAACAAACCCAAAAGTATACAATGAAAGATTCGTAAATTTGACTACATTTAACAATTGGGTTTGCACTCTAATATCTAATCATACTACCCCATGGTGAGAGCCTTAGTCTCCATATCTTTGGACAGATGAAATTTCCTAAAGTACTTTATGTTCCTTTTTCATGAGAATATTCTATAGATAGTCTACTTTTCTAACATTTGTATAGTCAGTTATAAGAATTACACTGATTGATAAATGATATATCTCGGCACTGTGCTAAGCACTTCTGCATACATCAATGAACTCATTGAGTTACACAGTTCTCAAAAGGGGAGACTAAACATGTAAGCAAGCTGCAGGACTTCCCCTAGGTCTCCTGACTCTACTTCTAGGACTCTTCCACCAAGTTAGTTACTTCTGTGGTATAAATACACGAATATAAAAGGAAACTTTTGTTTGAAAACACCAATGGCGAATAAGAAAAATTTATACAGCTCTTCTTAGAAAATCACGAATTGCCAATTGCAATTACTTTTGTTTCCTCTTTGTAATGTCCGAAGCAGTAATAAACGTGAAATAGGGAAAAATACACTCAACTATTTTCCTGGGAATGAAATACTTACTAACGAATTATTACTAGGTACATACCAGAGCATATTATTGTAGTCAAAAGCTCTTCGTACTGAAATAAGGTACCATCTGGAGCAAACTCTTACTCTTCTTAAAAGTGAGGAGAATGACGTCCCAAATACGGTCTCTGAACAAGATGTCCGTTTCCTCCTTACCGATCAGTGGAAGTAATAAACTACCTTTTCTCCACTAACGTATCAAGGGGATGAAATCACTCCCAAAAACTAGAGCATGTGTTGTTAAGAGCAAGGGCTCTGAGATTATGGAAATATTACCCATTCCTATGGAATATATTAAAAGCCTCCCCTTTGGATGAGGCCACTGTGACTGTTCCTACTTGACTGTTACAGAGGAATGGAGTCGAATTAAGAAAAATGTTTTATCCCATGGGCAAACATTCCACCACCGCCACCACTGTGTGGTGGAAGTACACACACACAGGGCTTCAAAATCCTCTGTACTTTCTACAACCCATGCAGTTGATTGTTCGAAATATATGCACATACAAATACATACACAGACATATTTGAAAGTAACTAAAGAAAACACCTCAGAATTCATTTTCTTTGGAG